CTAAGCTATACAACTGCGTTTTTAATCTAGACTTGAAAAGCGAGAGTGTGCCTGAATCCCGCACATCCGCCGGGAGACCATTCCACAGCTGCGGAGCTCTGTAAGAGAATGCGCTGCGGCCTGCCGCAGCCCTGTGTACTTCAGGAACTAATAGATATCCTGCTCCTTGTGAACGAAGCAGGCGAGGAGGGTTGTAAGGGACCAGAAGATCATTGAGATATTGTGGTGCAAGGCCATTCAGAGTTTTGTAAGTCAATAGTAATAATTTGTAGTCAATCCTAAAACTTGACCGGTAGCCAGTGCAGGGAAGACAGGATAGGGCTAATGTGATCAAATTTTTTAGTAGGCAATTGTTATACTGAAGTAGCTAATATACAGATGAAGTAGCTTTGATATAACATATGTGCACATATATAAAAATATTCTTTTCTTTGTACATTATTTTCATTGATTGGCAAGTTAAGTTAATATTGTTACTATCAGACTGGTAATCACCCTGTCAGGCCTGTAGCCAGAAATAATTCTCGTTGGGGGTCCAGCAACAATACTAAGTAGATTTTTCCCCTCCTTAAATTATCAGGAACATGCCATCAGTTTTCGATATCCATATAGTTTGCTAACCAGGATGGTGTACCAAACTTTTATACGTGGCTATATGCCTAACCCCCATTACACCTGTTAACAAACTCAGACCTAAATCACAAACATGCCTACAGACACCTGAGCTACCTTCAGTAGATCTTCAGCAGGAATAAGCTGGACAACCATCCCTCCCAGCCTTTAGTTCCACTGGCCTTGGGGTCATCCCAGTACAGTGTGCAAGCCAGCAGTCAGCCTGGCGGGAATTCACTGCATCCCCTAAAGAGTCACTGCTCCCAGACACTGCTCTCTGGATGTGGAGTTTATGATAATTAAATGCCAACCCACTTACCAGACACCAGACTGCTTTTTGTGGACTTCAGGTCAGCGTTTAATACCATCCTCCCACAACAACTGGTGTCCAAACTTGGGACTTCCATCACTCAACCTGCAGTTGGATACTGGACTTTCTGTCAGGTTCTGACTGGGTTCCCAAACCTCTTCTGCTCTCAGTTTCAACACTGAGTCGCCGCAGGGCTGTGTGCTCAGCCCGCGCCTCTACACCCTCTACACACATGACTGTGTCCCCTCTCACCTCAACAACAAGATCATTAAGTTTGCAGATGATACAACGGTGATCGGACTCATCTCAGGCAAGGAGAGTGAGCTGGCATTCAGGGACGAGGTGGAGTGGCTGTCAGAGTGGTGCAGAGTCAACAACCTGCTCCTCAGCACCACAAAAACAAAGGAGCTGGTTATTGATTTCAGAAAAAATAAAACTGACATCCAGCCACTCTGCATCTCCGGGGCACATGTGGAGAGGGTCCCGGTGTTCAGGTTCCTGGGTATGGAGTTGGAGGACGACCTGACCTGGAGTGCGAACACCAAGGAGCTCCTGAAGAAGGCTCAGCAGAGACTGTACTTTCTGAGAATCCTCAGAAAGAACCGTCTCCCCAAAAATCTGCTCCTTGCCTTCTACCACTGTTCCATTGAGAGCGTAATTACGTACGGACTCTGCGTGTGGTACGGCAGCTGCACTTCCTCAGAAGTGCAGTGTGAAAGCTCTCCACAGGTTCATCAGGGCAGCAGAGAACAAATCTACACCTCCTGATGCCGGAAAAACACTATGGACATTTTACATGGTTCATTACATCCCGGTCACTGTCTCTTTCAGCTTTTGCCATCAGGAAAGAGATACAGAACAATGAAAATCCAGACAAACTGCCTAAAAAACTGTTTTTATTTGAAAGCAATCATGGCCTTAAACTCTAAACAGAACTGTTAATTTTTATATTCATAAGTGCAATTTATATATCCAGTGCAATATATAGTAAGTACAATTTGTATAGTCAGTGCAATTTGTATATTTTTAAATATATTCTTTTATCACTCTTATGCCTCACATTGAGTCATCTGCAGTTTGTCAATTTCGTTGTCAAGTGACAATGACAATAAAGATGATCTTATCTTACCAAGGCAGTGAAACTACCCTGACGTGGGTGCCTGAATGAGATCCTGCGGGGTAGGTGTGTTTTTCCTGAACCCCAGTCGAGAACTGGAC